CGCCCGGCCCTGGCCTTAATTTTGCCAAATTCAAAACAAACAACTGTCATCAACGAACACCATCATTTCTTAAAAGAAAGGACAGTTTGGTACTAAAAAGTAGAAAGCACGAATTTCTGCAGAATGTTCAATAAAAGCCGTTTTATTAGAAATTCCTCACGGTATGCCTCTCCCTCCTTTTCTTCCATTTTGTCTAGACTTTGTCACTGGTCAGCATCAGTTTGTAGCTCAATTTGGGGGAAGACTGCTAATTTCATGTACATAATCCTTTATGTTTTACCCAATGGAGAAACTGCCGCCCAGAGAAGGACCGCGCGTCGCCCAAAGTCCTAAAGCGCGTCAGTGGCCTGGCCAGCTCTTCCCCACCCAGGCCTGTCCCCTGCCAGCTCCGCCACTGACGGCTGGAGTGCCTTTGAGAGGGTCAGTCCTGCTCCCTTCCTCAGTCCTCACCCCTGTTAAACAAAGGGCGGAACCTCCCCTACCCTCAGATAGGCAGCAGCAGGGCCCAGGAAGCAGGGCAGGCCCAGGTCCCCACCAACAAGAGGGGCTCCCCCACCCCACTGCCTGAGGATGCCCTTCCAAAGTGGAGCCCAGCTGGAACCTTGGACGGGAGGTCACCAGAGGCCGGGAGCTGGCTGGGGGTGGGGAGAGAGTCTGCTGTGTCCCATCCCGCCACACCATTCCTGGACCACGTCTAGAGGGTGGGTCAGCAGGACTCCCAGCCTCCCAGGAGGGGCGTGGGGGCAGAGCAAGGGGAGCTCAGCTCTGGCTCCAGCCCAGAGCCCTGCTTCCTGTCCCAGGGCTTCTGAATGCCAGAGAGGTCTCCCGCAGGGCCAGGAGGGGGATCAGCAGAAGTAAAAAGAGACCAGGAGTCTCGGCCTGCCTGGCAGAACAGCAGGCCTGAGGTATGAGCAGCAGACCTGCCGCCCTGGGGCCCACCTCCCCCGGCTGTCCCCGCAGAGGAACCTGAGGGGAAGTGATGGTGTCAGCAGCTCCCGCCCCGCCCCCAGCCCAGACTGCAGCCTCCTGTAGATCCTGGTCCCATTCCCAGATGCCAGGAGGTCCTCTCCACCCTCCTCTAGGTCTCACTCCTGCAAACACTCAGGGCCCAAGTGGCATGAAGGGAGCTGGCTTCCGCAGGGCAGCGGCTGGGGTGGGAGCCCTGAGGAGCCAGCCAGCCAGCAGCAGGGGTGGCATCTGACTCAGGTTCCAGGCCGCCCAGAGGGCTCTCCTGACTGGGGGATCTCCCAGCATTCCTGATCTGTGACTCACTGTGATGCCCCACCCCAGGGAGCCACCTGTTCCCCTGACACTGGGGCTCCAGGCCCCACCCTGGCCCCACCCCCGGCCTCTAGGCCCGAACCCCACAGGAATCTGCCTTTGCCTGCAGGGCTCAGAGATGTGCGGGGAGGAATGAATGGGCTCCAGGAGGACCGAGCCCCCAAACTCCTCAGCCCCAACTGGGATCCAAACAAAGGCCATCCTCTCTTGGAGGCAGGGGTCCTGGAGACCCCGCCCAGGCCACACCTTCCTCACAAGTTTCCTCTCTTCGACCCACTTCGTGCCCACGCTTTCTACCCTGCACACTCTTGGGAACCAGTCGAACCTGGGCTTCTAGGTGGCTGGTGCCAGCTCGCCCTGCCCAGCCTGTGGCTGCACGCCCAGCCTGGCGCCCACCTTCACCCAGCCAGCCGCAGGAACACCCCTCAGCCCAGCCTGCTTGCCTCTCCGCTGCTGCACGGGGCAGAGCCTGGACCTTCTCAAAGATGTGCCAGAGGGCCCAGGCTGGCCACACTGGGGCTGAGCTCTAGGCTGCGGCAGGGACAAGGACAGCCACTGTGGCAGAGGCTGGCGGGCCCAGCAGAGGGGGAGGCCTACCGGTCCAGCTGCAGCCGCAGGGGCGAGGGGCTCTGGCGGATCTTGCTCTGGGCCTCGGCGTGAAGCATGCGCTCTGCACTCTCCCCGTTGATGGCCACAATGATGTCGCCAGGCCGGAGGTCAGCAGCCTCAGCCTTGCCCCGCTCAGTCACCTACAGGGACGAGGAGCCCGTGAGTCCGAAGTACCCATGCCCAGGCAGCAGCGCATTCGGGGAGAGGACTTCCCGCTCTGCTGCCCAAGAAATGTAGACGCTGGTCTGAACTAGGCTGTCCTGCACCCCTTAACATCCCTCTCCCCGCCCGTCAGTCAACCCAGCTGACCGGCTGTCCCCTCCAGGAGCCGGGGTGGCAGCCTCCACCCCACCCTGGCATTCTAACGGGGGCCTCCCAAAGAACGTGCAACGGCAGAATTCCAGGAACTGCGTTTGGAAATACTTCTGGATGGAGAGCCCTGCCCGTGCAAATCACACCTTGCAGGGGGCGGCCTGCACACGGCCTCCGTGGGGACACTCCCCAGCCCGGGCCCAGGCCTGGGTCGAGAGGAAACTGCCAAGAACCCACGGGGCTCTCGCTCCAGTAACCACCCAAAATGGCTGCCCGCAGGTGTGGGGTTAGCGGCCCAGGAGAAAAGGGCAGGCCCTGTCCTTGGTGCAGACCCCTTCACTCCTAAGTGCTGTTCCTGAAGTGGCCACCACGTCCCCAAGCTGAGGGGACCCCGGCCTTCCCTGGCCAGCACTCCCAGCACCAGGCCTCTGGCTCAGAACAGAAGAAACCATGTCTGCGGAGAACAGGGTGGACAGGGCAGACCTGACTTTCGGGGGACCTCCTTATCTCCTGGAAGTAGCCCTTACCTTGGTCACCATGATGGGCATGTGGAAATCCCTGCCCCCCGTGATGCGGAAGCCCCAGGGCGCCGGCCCCACCACGTCCACCGTCAGCGCCATACCTGCTGGAGAGAGGCGGGCCCACGTGAGCGGCGGTAAGGTGGCTCTGGTGGCAGGAGAGCGGCAAGGGGACAGAAAGGGGGCTGAGGTCCCGGAGCAGCCGGCGGGGGCTGGGGGTGGGTGGAGGAAGTGAGTTAACTCCCTCCCTTGCCCCTGGCTTTCACTTCCCCCCACCCTGGGAAGCCATGACTCTAGGTTCCCCTTCCTTAGTCTCCAGCCCAGCGGCTCCCAGGAGGGGTGTCCCGGCTGCCAGAGGAAGGGTGTGCAGGGGCTGGCCGCTGGTAGGGGAGCTCAGCACCTCCTCCCTCTGCCCTCCTCCACCCCGGGGGCGAGTCCCACGAGTGCTTGCTTCCTGTCCCCAAAACCGACAGCACACGGTACTTCCTCCCTGCGCTGGGGGAGGGCAGGCAAGCAGCCTGGGGACAGCAGAGCTCTGGGAGCAGGAGCGACGGCACAAGGAATGGGGTGGCCCCAGCGCAGGCTGTGCAGGTGGCTGGCCAGGTTGGGGGCTGGCTGGGCTGGGCCCAGCCCCTGGCAACGAGGCCCAGATGGGCAAGACCAGGCTTCCACCTTGCCCCGGCCTGCTGCCCTCTGCACAGCACCGGCAAGGAGACCAGGGCTCATCTGCCAAGCCGGGCACACCACCCCACGGTGAGCTCACTGATGCTGCAAGCCAGCCCGGGTGACAGGCCTCCCATACACTGCCCCTCCGCTGGGCAAGGGAGTGCCCTTGCAGACAGGCCCTCGTGGGATTTCCTGAGCCTCTAGCTCTGGAGCCAGGAGCCAACCCGGGCAGGAAGCTGCAGTGCCAGGCTGGGCACCACCCTGCCCAGCACCCATCCCGGGGCTGCCCCTGGGGAGGTCCAGAGACTGCCGGTGCTGCCGCCATCCATCAAGAACACCCGGGCCCTGGAGAGGGGGTGCCCCAGCCGGCGGGTCTGTGGGCCCCATCCCGAGCCTGCTGGTCACCCCCTTTTGCCCGGGCCTGGCTTCTCTCCCTCTCCAGGCCCCCAGGCCGGCGCTGGCAGCTCGCAGACGCCCTGACATTCCCAGACCTTTGAGCCGGCCAGTGGACTCCGCGCTGCGGGCGCCGCGGGCGCCGCGGGGAGGTGCCCAGCCCGATGGCCCGGCTCTCCCAGTTCTGGAGCCTTCTCCGCTCCGAAGCCAAAGTACCCCGCGGGCCCGGGACGGGAGTAGGAGCACCGGGTCGGGGAGAGCCCCGCTCGCGAGGACGCCCGCGCCGAGGCCGCAGGGAAGCGGGCGGCGGGCGCAGGACAGGGTCCCGGTCCGAGGGACCGGCGCGGGGAAGGACGCGGCGGGCGCGGGGTGCGCAGGTGGGCGCGCTCACCTGGCTGCCGCTCACCTGTCGGGCTGGGCGGCAGGAGGGGCGGGAAGGAGGGAGGAGAGCGAAGAGTCGCGGCCGCTCCCGCCGCCGTCCGCCCGGCTCTGGGGAGAGCCCGCCCGGGGCTCTGGGACCTGCCTCCGCCCATGTGATCCCGGGGCCGCCCCTGCCGCCGCCCCTGGCCCGGGAAGCCACCGCCTCCGCGCTGCGAGCGCTGCCACCTGGGCCGCGCCGCGGGGGAAGGGGACGCGCGCGCCGCGGGGGAAGGGGACGCGCTCTCCGCGGAGCCCCTCGGGGCTGCAGCCGAGCTCCCCGAGGTGCCCGCGCCCTCCCGACCGGCCGGAGCGCGGGGCAGCCGTTCCCGGGGCGGACCGCTGAGGCCTCAGACGGCTGAGGCTGCCGCCCCCGAAGCTCTTCCAGGCCTCTCCAAAGGGGCCCTCGACCACCCCCAACACACACGTCCCGGCCCCGCGGCGAGGCTGGCTGGGTGTGACTGCGGTCGCCTGGCTCCTCCGCCCACCCCAGGCTCAGACGCCAGCGCGGATGCCCCAGCCCTGCTCAACTGCCTCCCGCGACCGCGATGGTCCTCTTCCCCGCAAGCCTGAGATGCCCGCAACCTGTGGCTTTCCGGGTGACCCGCCAGGACCTCCTGGCTGGGGGACCGGCACCCCCCCGCCCGGGCTGAAGCCATTCCATTCCTGGCTGCTGCGCCTCACCCTCTTCGCCGCCTGCCTGGGTAGGGACAGCCCGCGCCCTGGGCCAATCACCTGGAACCCAGACTCCAGGGATCAGGAGAGGACAGCCAAGGAGGGGGCCCCAGGTGCCGGCTTAGGAAGGAGGAGTCACACTTGGCAACCCTCACCCCCGGGACCTCGGGCCAGCAGAGCCTCCTCCTGCGTCTCTGGGTCTCCACTTGGCACTCTGGCTGCCAGGCTGCTGTTTTCAAGGGAGCACACCTGTGGGCACAGCTGAAACTTGCCTGCCCCAGGTGTGAGTCATTCCTTCCAGATTCCCTTGAGGAGTGCCCTCACCAGGCTCCTCACCTCCTGCGCCCCTGCCTTGCCCTTCCTGCCGTCCCATCCAACCCTGCTCCCAGCCCTGCCCCCACCTCCACGCCTCTGTCTAGGGTGTGTGAACTGCTCTCCCACCGGCTCATCCTGTGCCTCCTGCCACGGCCGCTTTGCACCTGTTTACCTCCCCAGCTAGACTGGAAGCCCCTTGAGCAAGCCGGGCACTGCAGGCTGGACAAGCACAGCCTTGGGGTCACACAGACCTGGCCTCACCTGATACATCTGCCTCTTACTGGCTGCGTGGCCTTGGGCAATGTCCTCAGCTCCCCCTGGCCTCAGTTTCTCCCTGTGTAAAATGGGATAATGCATAGCTTACTCTCCTGTTGTAAGTCCAAGGACTGCAATGAGGTGTGAATCAGAGTCCCTGCCACTAACTGGGGTGGCAGGGAGGGAGGGCAAAGGAAGGAAAATTCATTCAATTGATCTGCTCAGTCACTTCAACAATATTCATCCAGCACGTATTTACGGAGTGCCCACTGCGGCCAGGCACCGTGCTGGGCTCTAGCAATGGGGCAGCGAGCCAAACAGAAACGTCCTGCCCTCAGAGGGACGCTCCTGCGTGTCTCGGGCAGTCTCCATGAACATCTGCAGTTAATCTGCAGGGTTTTCTGCTCGGTGGGTTGTGCATTAACAAAACTCACCACAAAGTCAAATCAGCTGGCCCAGGGGATGCCTTCGAGTCACTGAGGGAACGCTGTCCTGCTCTACTGGGTGACTGTGTCGCTCTGGGTAAGTCAAGTCACTCACCTACTCTCTCTCCCTTCACCGCCACCCACGCACACAGTGGCGAGGTCAAGCACAGAAGGGGTCGTCTTACAGGCAGGACCATGGTGGCAGGCAGCCCGGGGTGTGGGGTTCATCTGCTGCTGCGGGAGTTTCCAGGTCCCCATCGAAGAGAGGGCGTGGATTTGGTTTCAGTCCCAGGGAGGGGAAGTCTCAACCCCGATGTGTCTTATGAGGACATCAGGGAATGTAAGTGACAGGAGGTGGTACAGGGGGATGGACCTTTCCAGTCCACGATGGGCTGGGCCTGCCGACTTGGAGCCAGACCCAGGTGAGGACGGGTGCGGGTGGGATGAAGGAGCACACGTTGGTCTTGTTCTTCAAGCTGTTGCTGAACCACCGCTGGGGCCCAGGCCACACCCAGGCTCAAGGAGCCTACCAGGGCCAGGCCACTGCCCTGTCAGCCACAGGCCCTTCCCTCTGTGTGGCAGAACGAGGCACCACCTCTTCCCACCTGCCTGGGGTGGGGGCACCTTTTAAAGGACAGGCCTGGAAGACAGGATTGCCAGGAAGAATGTAAAAGTAGCCCAACCCTGGCCACCCCGGGGAAGTCCCTGACCTCATGCATGACCTTCCTTCTCTAGGGGCAAGGTCTGCCTGGGCATTTGGCAGATTTTGTGCAATGAGGTGGACCTGACTTCGGCATTTAATGGTGCCGTGACCTACACAATTTAATTCCGCAGAGCCGTGGTCTCGCCCGTAACAGGGAACGCTAACCTGCCAGGGGTGATGCTCGTGCTCGATGACACACGGGTGGCCCCTCACGCCCTGCTCAGCGCTCAGCGGCAGCCAAGGCATGGAGCTTTCCTTTCTTGGTAGAGCCGCCACACCCAGGCTGTGCCACCGCCGACGTCCCACAGGAACCACCAAGCCCCAGGACTCTAAATCCTTGGGCCCGAGCGTTGCTTTGGCTAGCTGTGCCCACCACTCCCAGCTTCCTGAAACCGACTGCTCAAAAACTTGAGCCCAAAGAAGAAAATAAACAAACACACGAGAGCTTCGTGTGGAAATGGAGCGCACAGAAGGAAAACATTAGCAGCGGAATAGTCAGAAATGTCATCTGGTCCAGCAACCCCACGGTGGCGGCTCCAGAACCAAAACAGCCTGCAAACAAGGCCACATTCAGTTCCCCGTCTCCGATTCCTCCCCAGTCAGGCCTTGCCCTGGTGCGGGTGACATTCGTCCTCTCAGCACTTCTCAGACAGCTGCCCGATCCTGGGGGCTGCCCCGCCCTGCCTGACACCCCCGGGCTGAGATCTGGGCAGATGACGATGGTGTTTTCCATCCGCCCCTTACACACACACCTGTCCCACCCGGCTCCCGGCACAGCCCGCTGCGGAGAGGATTTCCACACTCCTAAGCAGGGGGAGCCTCTCCCACCCGAAAGGAAAAGGTCTCGGAGACAAGGTCCCTGGCATCCAGATTTATTTTACACTCTCTTCCAGAGGGAGCTTGGGCGCTGGGGGGGAGTTGGCAGGCAGGAGGGCAGCAACATTGGGCTTCTGTTACACATCTGGGCCAGGCCAGAGGTGCAGAGCCCAGGCCCAGAGCATGGCAGCCTCTGTGCAGGGCAGGCCTTAAAGCAAGACCCCTTGCTGGGCCTGGAGCTGAGGAGGTGTCACACCTGGCCCCCACCTCGCTCCCGGGCCCAGCCGGAAGCAAGAAGGCAACGGGGGCGGGGTGGGAGGGAAGCTGGAGTGAAAGGGGAGGGACCCCTCCAGGCAGAGGGGGCCTCTGGTCTCTGTGAGGTTAGGAAGCTGGTCCTTGTTAGAGGAACCCCATGGGGGTGAAGCAGAGCCGGTCCCTGTTAGAGGAAACGCCGTAGCGGGGCGGGGGTGGGGGACCCGGGGGTCTGGTCTCAATAAGGCCTGGAAACAGTCTCCGCTTCAAAGCAGACCTCTGTATTGGGGAGTGGGGCGGGGCGGAAATGCGAGGGCTGCTGGAGGAATGCCTGCGAGTGTGGGTGGGAATCAGTCCAGGGGGCTTCGCGGGGGCTCCAAGGGAAAGGCTTCTGGGGGGTTTTGCGGTTGCGGGGGGTTCGGTTCTTGGGGAGGGGGGTTGGGGGGTCCACGCCCCCTTCCACAAGTGCTACTGCTCCCACCCCATCCTGGCTGGCTCCCAGTCGCCACGGAGACCACTCACACCGGGGCAACATAATTTCCAGGGAACGTTCCAAATTTCTGGGTCCTCCGGGAGACACCTGGAAGAGGAGAGACAGAGAGAGCCTTCCCCACACTCCTTTCTCAAACAGGAACGTGGGGCTGCGGGCCCTGCCCCCTGCTGGCCGTGCCCGGCACTGCAGGCGGGGTCCCTTTCCCAGGGCGGCGGAATTTGATTTGTTGTCCGCATTCCTGCCCCCTAGTGGCAGAAGCTGAGATGGATGGGCAGCTTTGCACTTCCTAAATTCAATAAAGAGAAATCTGGCCAATGAACACGTGTGCAACTTTATACACAGCACTCACTAACTCCACCCTTCTTCGGGAAAGTGAGGACGCCGCAGGAACCTCGCTGGTCTAGTAGGGTGCCCTCAACTTCAAGATGGGAGGGTAAGGCCAAGAGAAGGCCCAGTGAACTGCCCCAGAGAATCCAGCTGCTTAGAAGTCAGGACTACAGCTCAGGTCTCTGGTCTGCTACACCCCCCAGAAACCTGTGTCTGGAGAGGAGGAGAATGCTAGAAATACAGGGATATCAACTGAAAGGAAAGTCAGTCCTGATCCTGGGTAAACTGATGCTCCGGGCCTCGCCTTCCAGCCTGGCGTCCTGACTCCCTCAAGAGCAGCCCCTGCTCATCCCGCCCCCAGCCCTCAAGCATGCGCTGCCCCGGCCTTTCTCCCACTTCTTCCAGGAAGCCCTCCTAGACTTGCCCTGTCCAGAAAGACAGCCGCCAGCGACACGCAGCTACCGAGTACTTGAAATGTGCTAGTGCAACTGAGTGACTGAATTTTTTATTTTGTTTCATTTTAACTAAATCTAAACAGCCACATGTGGCTGGTGGCTATTGAACTGGGCGGTGCAGGTCCAAACCATTCCTCTGAAAGCACTTGTGGCTTATACCACAAAAGTGGTGCTTTTTCTTCTTGTCTGTATAAATTTGCAAAACTTTATTAGCAGTTGTAAAAAAATTCAAAAGCAAAAGTGTATAGAGTAAATCAGAATGTACGCCCAAGCCCACCCCTCAGAGGTAAGGACTGTTCACAAGCTGGTGCTTAACGATCACTG